GCCGTTTCATCTTTGATACAATTGTTGCATTTATTATTTATTTCGAGTAAGAGCGACATAAGTTCACAGTTCCTTTGCACCGTGGTTAACACTGAAGCAACCTGCTGACGTTACCACTCGTGATGTGGCGTGAAGAACACCTTTAGAATATCAGTGTACTTCAGAGAGTACACTTGTAAATTATTATTATTATTGATAATTGTGGCCAAACGGGTGCCTTATTGCTCCTTTTTACGGCAGACTTACTTCTGAGCAGGTTTACTCCTCGAGCGCGCCTGTCAGGTCAACGGAGTCAGATGCTCTGCCTACGGCCAGTGTGGCTACTGTGCCTGGGGGCGGCTCGGATTCCCACTGAGTATGGTTCTTGACAACTGTGATTTTGATATATTTTATCAAAATGTCAGGGGTCTAAGAACCAAATGCAGTAAATTCATTGACAATGTTTTCGCTGGCACGTCCGGAATTTACTGTATTACGGAAACCTGGCTTAATGACTCTATATTAAGTTATAATATTTTTCCTGAATCCTATTACGTGTTTCGTGCCGATAGGGATTACGTAAGCTCCAATAAAAAACGGGGAGGCGGAGTGCTGACTGCAGTTTCAAAGTCTTTCCGTGGCGTTAAACGAAGGTATGATCTGGAAACGATTGAAGAGTGTGTGTGGATTGAAATTCCTGTTAGAGACAACCACAGTCTACTTATAGGGAATCATTACTTTGCGCCGGATTGTGATATAAAAGCAATTAAAAATTATCTAAACACTTTAGAAGTAAACCTAAACTCGCATCTCTATCGGGTGGTCATGTTAGGAGATTTTAATGTCCCCAATTTTGACTGGCTAAACGGCACCCCTTCCTCTAATTGTTATTACTATAGCAAAATTAAAGGAAATTCTCTTTACGCCACCTCCTGCTTTCTTGGTCTAAATCAGCGCAACGACTGCGTTCCTAACAATGCCCTGCTCGACCTTGTCTTTACAAACTTCAGCGATCTCAGCATTTCCCTTTCTCCTCACTCGCTGGTCCCTCCTGACCACTATCATCCGCCTCTTGTCCTTAATCTTAAACTAAGTCTTGACTATCAACATACCTCGCTTACTCCTCGACGCAATTACGGGAAAGGAGACTACTTATTACTTTACCATACCCTAGAAAACTCTGACTGGTCTTGCGTTCTTAATGAAAGCTCGGTTGATGCTGCAGTTAATAATCTCACGGCTACTGTGTCGAAGGCCATCAACCTAGCTATTCCCCTTGTAAAACCCAGAAATTCTGCATTTCCTCATTGGTTTTCCAAAACTCTTGTCTATTACATTAGAAAGAAGAATGCATCTCTTAAGAAATTCAAAAAATCTAAATCTGATTATCATTATAGCGTTTTTTCCCACTATCGTAAACTAGTTAAATTGACTATTAAATCAGATAGATTGGTTTGGTTAAAAACTATTGAAGAAAATTTGAAAACCCAACCAAAGCACTTTTGGAAATATATTTCTAATTTCAAAAAGAAAGACCAGTCGATTACACAAATTAAAGTTGGAGACAGTTTTATCACGGAACCCCAGGCAATCGCTGAGGCTTTTGCTGACCGCTTTCGTTCTGTTTTTAACTCCCCTTCTTGCGTTAATGTTACGACTAGTTCTGACTTCGCCTATTCTGATGTTTTGAATATTCCACGTATCTCTGTTGATGATGTTACACGGGCAATTAGTCGTCTCCGTTCAACGAAATGCGTCGGACCCGATGAAATCCCGACTTTCGTCATAAAAGGTTGTTCTGAGATTTTAACTCCTCTTTTACGCCATATTTTCAACCTTAGTTTATCTAGTGGGAACTTTCCTTTGTTATGGAAGCGAGCGGCTGGTGTGCCGATTTTTTAGAAAGGCAACAGCGCCTTAGTATCTAACTATAGGCCTATTTCGATCCTTAATAACCTCTCCAAAATTTTTGAAAGCATTGTTCATGATCACCTTTCCTTTTATTTCAAATTCAAATTACACCCCAGTCAGCATGGTTTTTGTAAATCAAAATCTACGGTAACTAATTTAGTTACCTACCTTAATGATGTTCAGCCGTCTGTTTGTTCACAGGGACAGATCGACTCTGTGTATTTTGATCTTAGGCAGGCCTTTGATTCAGTCCCGCATTCTATTCTTTTGAAAAAGCTAAATAAATTTGGACTATCTTCTCCTTATGTCAAGTGGTTCCAAAGTTATTTATCATCCAGATCTGCCTTTGTTCGCATTTTAGGACAGTCTTCTTCTTTCTACGCGGTGTTATCTGGAGTTCCACAAGGCTCTACCTTGGGACCTCTCTTATTTAATATTTTTATTAACGACCTTTGCGACAAAATTAAGTATTCTAAATTTCTCTTATTTGCCGATGACTTGAAACTATATCACGATATTAAATCTGTGCATGACTGCAGAGCTCTTCAAGCAGATATCAATTCCGTACATGAGTGGTGTAATGATAACAATATGGAACTTAACATAGAGAAAACCAAAATTATATCGTTCACACGTAAAACCAACAGTATCCATTTTAATTACATTGTTAGTGACTTTTTAATCTTGCGTACAAATTGTATAAAAGATCTTGGTGTTTTGTTAGACAGTAAACTGTATTTTCACTGTCATGTAAATTGTGTTCATTCCCAGGCACTAAGGACCTTAGGGCTTATTCGTTTTATTACTTATAATTTTTCCTCTTTAGACAGCCTTGTTGTTTTATATAATGCTTTAATTAGGTCAAAGCTTGAGTATGCCTCGGTCGTTTGGAATAATCTTACACAGACAGATTCTAATAAATTAGAAAATATTCAAAGAAAATTTGCCAGTTTATGCAATTACCGATTTTTCCAGTTTAATATCCCCCGAAAATATGAACTGATCCTATCTACTTTAAATTTTAGAACACTTTATTCCAGACGACGACATCTCGATGCGTTATTTCTTATTAATGTATTTAAGGGCAAAATAAATTGCCATTCCATTATGGACGCTGTTGGTTTACGTGTGCCGGCGAGGCAAATAAGAGAATTTTCTACTTTTAGTGTGAGCAGTGCACTAAGACAAGTCATTCAGTCAGGTGCGTCATCGCTGCAAATGACGTATGTAAATCTTTGGACGTATTTAGCACAAACATTGTCTCCCTTGAGCGAACGTTCTCAACAAGGGAAATGATCTAGCTTGGTTATCTGTCTTTTTATATTTTTTAAAGTTTTACAATTATATTAGTGTTCCCTACGTGGATTATTTTGTTTTTATTTATATTCCTTCATTTTTTGCTCTGTGTTAATATTGTTTCTATTTTGGGTTTGCCTGTACTTGGCAGTTATATTTAATACTGTATATTTATAAGTTTAGTTAATCCGTTTGTGTAATATTTTTAATTTTTATTTCACTATTATTGTATATATTATCAGTGTTTGCCTGTTATTGGCTTCTTGCTGTTGGCAAACACGTAAATAAATTAATTGAATTGAATTGAATTGAATTATGTTTATTTTATTCTTGAGGTGGACTTAGTGCAAATACTTGACTACAAAGCTGATCACTCTAGATAGCAAACGTTGTGTGGGCTATCATAATGTGCTATATATTTTTTTTAAAAAAAGGCTACGTTTTTTGGAATATGGTAAGATTGTATTTTGTGCGGAGAAATCATCAAAATTAATCTGTACTTAGCTGTAGGTATGGATCTCATGCCAAAACCGTGACAATTTTGTAGTTCTGGGGATATTCCAAACTCTTTCGTTTTGTTGAAATGTGAAAGCGGAGAGTCTCCATGACGTGGAATTGATGGCAGTTTTCATTGTGACATTTAGTAGGTCTCTTAGAAGTCTCAGAAGTCTCAGAGTGGGATGAGGGTACTCCGCTAATGAAGGAAGCTCCTGTCAGAAGTCTTCTCCTGCAAATTGGGG